TGAAGAGCTAAACATTTTTCCACGTGAAATATCTTCCGAATGGATTTCCAAAGAAAGGAGCATAGCAGAAATTAAGAAGGAATCTTCGATCGACGCTGAGCGCGAAGAGAGCCTGAAAAAGGAATTGAAAAGAAAATTTCCTAAAGTCTTCGATTCAAAACTAGGCTTTTGCACCAAAACAAAAGCTCATCTTTTTCTGAAACCAGAGGCTCGTCCGATATTCTGCAAAGCTAGACCAGTACCACATGGCGCACTGCAAGCCGTCAATGAAGAACTCGATCGATTATTAGAAATCGGTGCAATTAAACCGATCGAATTCAGTCACTGGGCTGCTCCAATTCTTGCTGTCAAAAAGAAAAGTGGAAAAACACGAGTCTGCATTGATTTTTCCACAGGCCTTAATAATGCTTTGGAATTGAATCGACACCCACTTCCAAGGCCAGATGATATTTACGCATCATTGCGCGGTGCACGTTTCTTCAGCCAATTAGATTTGAAGGATGCTTACTTACAAATCGAGTTGGACAATGAATCCAAACGATTGTGTGGGATTAACACACATCGAGGCCTAATGCAATGCCAACGCCTTCCTTTCGGTGTTAAATCGGCTCCGTCAATATTTCAGCATTTGATGGACCAAGTTCTTACAGGCATCAACGGTGCTTTCTGCTATTTGGATGACGTAATCATTGCAAGTCGATCCATCAAAGAGCACAATGAAATACTGCGAAAAGTATTTACAAAAATTCAAGATTTTGGTTTGAAGATTCAACCAGAAAAGTGCAAATTCCTGCAGTCCGAGATAAAATTCTTAGGACATGTGATTACTGCAAAAGGCATTAGTCCAGATCCGAAGAGATCGGAAGCAATTCATAAAATGCCTGCGCCACACGACATTTCATCGTTACGCTCATTTCTCGGTGCACTAAATTATTACGGCAAATTCATCAAAACAATGCGTGAAATTCGAGCACCATTGGATGAACTCCTTCGTAAAGATGTAGAATGGGCATGGACAGAAAAACAGCAAAAAGCTTTTGAGAAAGCTAAAGAAATTCTTCTGTCAGATCTTCTACTTACCCACTACGATCCTTCTTTACCTATTATTGTTGCCGCTGATGCATCCAAAGATGGAATAGGCGCTGTAATTAGCCATACATTTCCGGACGGCACGGAAAAAGCAGTAGAACATTCGGCTATTACTTTCACACCTGCGCAGCGAAACTACAGCCAAATTGAAAAAGAGGCTCTTGCACTTGTATTCGCCGTTCAAAAATTTCATAAAATGATTTATGGTCGACGATTCACACTGCTGACTGACCATAAACCACTATTGGCCATCTTCGGTTCAAAGACCGGTATTCCTATTTATTCTGCAAATCGATTACAAAGATGGGCCATAATTCTTTCAAACTACGATTTTGAAATTAAATACATCAAAACCAATGACTTCGGAAAGGCAGACGTACTTTCTCGTCTAATTGCTAATTACCCAAAACTTGACGAAGACGTACTAATCGCCAACATTTGCTCTAGTACCGAATGCTTCGTAAATTCTACATTGGGAACACAAATACAGCCTTTACCTGTTACAGCCGAAGATATTGCAAAATACACTTCAGAAGACGAAGTACTTCAAAAACTGGTTTTGAAAATAAAAGAAGATTGGAATAACTGCAAAGACATACAACTTCAACCCTATTTCCCGAAAAGACAAGAAATAACGGAAATAGAGGGATGTCTCGTTTACGGCAATCGTACAATTATTCCAGTGAAACTGCGAAATTCTATTCTAAAAGCACTTCACTTGGCACATCCTGGAGTAGTTAAGATGAAAGCCATAGCGAAAGAGCACGTCTATTGGCCACAGATTAACTCTGACATTGAAAAGACAGTTCGTCTATGCCAAGAATGTCAAGAAGCTGCTAAACTGCCCATTAAAACTACGCTGACACCATGGAAAACACCCGAAGAAGTTTTTCATAGGGTCCACATAGATTTTGCAGGACCATGTCAAGACGGCCACACTTACCTACTTTTGGTAGATGCTTATTCAAAATGGCCAGAAGTATACTGCATGCCCAACATTTCAGCTAAAAATACAGTTGAGGCACTTCGAAATCTTGTATACAGATTAGGATGTCCTAAAGAAATTGTTTCCGACAATGGAACACAATTCCGTTCTTCCGAATTAGCGAAATTCTGCAAAGAATATGGAATTAAGCAAACATTTACTCCTCCATTCCATCCTCAGTCAAATGGACAAGTAGAGAGATTTGTCGACACGTTCAAGAGAGGAATGAAGAAGGGTAAAGGAGATAAATTATGGTGCGAAAAGATGCTTTTAGCATATCGTTCAACACCACATTCTGCTTTACAAGGACATTCACCAGACCAACTATTCTTGGGAAGAAAATTGAGAACTCAATTAACTTTAGTTCACCCTGCTGAACAAAAGAAAATTCCTATTGAGAAGAAACATAGAGAGGAATACACCAAGAAAATGGCAAACCAATTTAACCATAAACATGGAGCCAAAAATTCTTCGTTCGCTCCTAAAGACCCCGTTTATCTGCTAAACTTTCGTCACAACAAAACACATTGGTTGCCAGGAACAATCATAGACAAAGTAGGAAATTCTCCGACCTACCGAGTATCAGTTCCATCTCTAGGACGAGACGTCCATAGACATGCGAATCAACTGAGACGTAGATTCATGTCAGATGACACTGATCATTCCGTTCAAATTCCTCCACATCAGTCTCAAGGTTCTCCGAGACAAAAGGAAATGCACCAACCAGAGACAGAGAAGATATCTAGGCGATATCCCTCTCGTCAACGAGTTCAAAGGAAAATTCTGGACCCGGACCCGAGCAAGACACAATACGAATCCAATCCGGTGGGAGCATCATCTTAAAAAGGGAGATGTTGGAGATGTAAGACTCAAATGACCTAAATTCAAAAATACATATTCGACACTTTGTCATTTCCTTCCCGCCTAATTTATTTGTCTATTTAAGCATTTCCTTATTCCCCCATTTTGTTCTTTTCGTTCTTCATTTCATTCAGTGACGCAGTCACAATTTTAATTGTATTTTATTAAAATAAATAAAATCTTTATTTATTATTCTTTTTGTTTGTATTATCGGGTGTCTAATACACAACATTTTCCAAGTAATGTAAACAAGATCTCCATTTAAAATAATACCCAATAGACAAACAAAAGATTTACAAGAAATAAGTAAAACTAAAGGGACACAAAAACCTGCATCTTTAAATGCAGCATAAGCCTTAATTTAGGTAATTTATGTAATAATAATTTAAAAGTTTTTTTTTCGAATAATTTTAAATCTATTTTGAAAATGTACGTAATGTAAGGAAGAGAAAGATCCAGCTGACTAGCATTTAAAACGCTAACTAGGCGGGGGTAGCTCAGTTGGCTCACTAGGCAGCGTCCCGGTAGCTCAGTCGGCAGAACACCTGTACGTGGTGAGCGAAAGCGCCTAGAAAAACTGCCAAGAGGTCGCAGGATCGAAGCATGCCCGGGTTAAACTTTTACCCCGCTCTTACTGTAAATAAATATGTATATTTCCTCCAATTCTCTAGAAAATCTTTCGATTTATAAAAATTTTTTAGAAAATAATAATTAAATTTATTCCAAAAATAATTTATTATTTTACTATTTCCCAAAAGAAAATTTTAAATTTTCTTACCGGATCTGTAGTAATATTTGACATTATAAAATTTTATAAAATTTTGCAACAGATTTTGTAATACTTAAGGATTAAGTCTGACTATTCTTTTCCCACTTTTTAATAATAAATTCTATAAATATACTAATTTTCCATAATAAAAATTAATTTTTTATCAAATTAAAAAATAGTGAAAATTAAAAAGGAAGAACATGTGGGGGATTTTAGTTGGAATAATTACCTAGTAAATGTAGAAGATATTTCTTTTATAAAAAACAATTTTAATTTTTTTTAATGTCTTTAAAAACGGAAAAGGGATTTTAAATGAATAATGAGCTCAATGAGGAATTAATTTCTAAAGTTTATATATGTATATTTGTATATAATAATGAATAAAAAAAGACTAAAAAAATTAAATTTGTATTTTTAAGTTTACTAGAAAAATATTAAATTTTAATGAATTAAAATAAATTTTTAAAATTAATTTCTTTAAGAAGACCTAGTTTTAGGAAAAATAACACAAAAGATTTTTAATAATAAAAAAAATTAATTAAAAAATATTTTACACTAATTATAAATACACGCTACATTTAATTTATAAATTTAATGAGGAATTTATTTTTAATTTTTATATTAAGTTTAAAAATATTAGACACAATTTCACGCAATCATTTTTTAATTTTTGTTGCTAAATGGCAACGGAAATACAATCCTCTAAAATTTTTTGTTAGTTTTTAATTTTTAATTAAAATTTATTTGGAAATAATAAAGTCTCAAAAACAAATTTTTTTAAAATAATAGTTTTTATTTTTTAATTTTTTAACATACTTTAATTCCTCGTTTTATTTAAATTTTAATTAAAAAACAAATTTGGCAGTAAAAAAATAAAGGACTTTTTTAAAATTAATTTTATATTTGTTGTAAACCAAAAAATCATCTTTTCTAGGGAACAAAAGGTTGTCGTTCTCCATTTTTTCGAGAAATTTAAACCGATTTTTGAGAATTTGGTAAAAAAATATTATTTTTTATAAGACAAAAGGATTAATAATAAAATAATTTTAAAAAAGATTGGTTGGATCACAGGGAGATAAGTATAAGAGAATTGTAGGTAAATTTAATTGACAGAATTAAATTCATATTAAAAATAAACTGTAGTACACTTTTTCTAAATTTGAAAAAATTTGTTAAATTACCATTGTTGTTGATAAAAATTTGGATTTATTAAAAAGAGCATACTACTATAATCTATCATCCAAAAAAAGAAATATACTCCTAACTTAAAGACATTACGAGTTATTTAATTAAATATCACAAAGTATAATAAAATTCTTCAATTTGCGGAACAATTTTCCAATTAACAGCCCCCAATTCCACCATTAACAAAATCATTTTTCGTGCCCAACATTCTGTTGAATTTAAAGAAGCATTGCGTAATAAAATACGTAATTCGTCTGTTTGGAGTGGATAGTCTAATTCTAAACGGTGGCCAATAATCATTAAAAGAGATAAAATTGATTCCAACTTTAAAAAAAAAAAGAAAAAATTAATTTTTTTAAATTTAAAAAAGAAAAATGAATAAAATAAGGGGATAAATTTTTTAACAAAAAATGAGAAAATAAAAAAAAAAGGAGAAAAAATTTAAAAGATAAAAAACTTAAATTAAAACGTATATTAGGGTTGGATCCAGCCGGGTATCGGTTAATCCAAATTTGAAATACTCGGAGTTTTGGCTTTGAGTATTAGTTAAAAACCGGTTTTATTTTAGAGAATTAAAAAAATCACTCATTTTCATAAATTTCTAGTTTTAAAACCGGTCGTGTCCAACCATAATAAAAATTAATAGAAACATTTTTTCTTTAATTAAAGGGACTAAATGTCAATGAATTTAAAAATTTTATTTAGTAGCTAAATTAGAATCTAATAAATTGCCTGTGTCGGCTCAAATTCTTTCATTCTTCTCCATTTGAGCCGACACAGGCAAAAATTAACTGGGCGAAAAAATTTAAAAAAACTATTAGGCACTTGATTTAAATTTAAAAAGTAGAGTAGAAAATAATTTTTTTCAAAATTTACCTCAAAAATTTTCAAAGAATTCAAAACAGGTTCATTAAGTAAATAATCAAAAATATTAAAAATTAAAATAATTATTCCTTCTAAAAATAAATATTATTTAATTTAAATTTAATTAAAAAACCTTCATTACAAATTTGTGCCAATTCAAAAATTAAAAAAATAAAATTTTGCCAAACCAAAAAATAAAAAGAATTTTCTTCTTCTTTAATTTCTTCTAAATTCCTTAATTTATTTTTACATTCAAAATAACGTTCAAAAGACAAAATAATTCCATTATAAAAATATTTAAATATTGAAGTGTTAAATAATGAAGTAAATAACTTAAAAAAATAATTATTATTTTTTAATTAAAAAAAATAAAAAATTGGACTGAGTTTTTAATTGAAATTTTCTAAATGAAAAATAAATCTCCCTTTATTGTTCAAACACATATTTTTTCTGTTTTTTATTAGTTACCCCCACCCTTATTTGAGTCTCAAATTAATTTTCCCATTTTATTGTCATTTTCTCCCTCAAATTTTATAAGCAAAAGGCAAGTATTAGGAAGGGAAAATAGACGGCAACCGTAAAAATCATACTACAGGCAAAATTTAACGTCTATAAAGGAAATTTAACTATTACGAGGCAGAAAAATAAAAAAAAAATTAATCTGATAGTGAGACTCAAATAAGGGTGGGGCAGGATATTAATAAAGTACCAAAACTCAATTTAGAAGAAAAAATAGAATTAAAAAAATATTTTAAAAGAAAATATTTAAAAATTAAAAAAAGATTTAAATTTTTTTGAACGACAAAAAACTTAATAAATTTTATATCTTTTTAAAGAATTTAAAAAAATTTTAAAATAAAACCTTTGAGAGAATTCCTTTTTTCAAATATTTTTTATTATTTTTACAACAATCTTCCACCAAATATTTAACAATAAAAATTCCAACATATTTAGCCATTTCAGGAGAACAATTTAAAATTAAAAACTCCCCAATTTCGTTTCCATTTTGTAAATCTTTTGACAAAAATAAACGCAAATTATTTATTAAATCATCAAAATTCATTGAAGGTTTGGCTTTTTCTTCTGATTTTTTAATTAATTGTTTTTGGCATTTTTGTGGTATTTCTGTTGATTTTGAAGGAATTTTAAGCTGAGATTTTGGTAATTGACTTGTTTCTTCTTTGTTTTCTAAAAAAAATTATTTTGGGATTTTTTGTCCAAAAAATTTATTTTTTAATTTAAACCTTCATTTGACGATAAAAGTGAAATTTCTTTTTGAATATTTTCTTCTGGAAATTCAGTTTGCACATTTTGGACTTTTCTAGGAAGAGACTTTATTCCACGAAGAACTAAAAAAAATAAAAAAGATTTTTAATTAAAATTTAATTAACCTGGAGGTTTATACAATTCTAATGAAGGCCTGGAACGAGACCTTGAAATTAATTTTTTCTCATTTTCACTCATTTTTGTCTATAAAATAAATTATTAAAAAGAATTAAAACGTAAAAAAATTTTTTTAAATTAATTATTTTATCTGGGACACGCCCAAGTAAGCGCGCGGCCATAACGGCGCAAAGCCATAACTTGCTGGAAAATTGTTGGTCCTTAATATTTTAGTAACAATCTCTTTAGCTCGATGAGAGGAAACGTACATTACTAAAATGTTAGGATTCTGAAATATTGAAGCAAGTTATGGCTTTGCGCCGTTATGGCCGCGCGCCTATTTGGGCTGTTTTTATTTTCCTTTCCACACTCAACCAGCCGCGACAAAACAGGCTCTTAATTGACAGATTTAAAAAAAATTTTTTTATTTTTGATTGATTTTCTTTTATTTTTTTATTTTAAAGAATGTTTTACTTTATTCCATAAAATATATTAAAAAGCGATAACCAAAAAGAAAAGCTAAAGAAGAATGACAGCAAATAAAGAAAATATTAATTTCTTTTAATTCTTCAGATTTAATTCAATTAAATGGGTGCTGGACTTTTAGCATCTCAATTAATTTTAGTTTTATGTTTTACTGTTTATACATTAAATAATTATGCACATTTGAGAAGGCAAAGGGCAATTATTGCTTTACCTACTTTTTTTGGTAAAAAAAAATTTTTTTTGAATGATTAATGTTTTTTATTTTTAGGATGGTTTTTCTCCTTCCTTATCATTATTGTCCTTCCATTGGATGTTGCAATTGTGAGTAATTGATTTCTTTTTTTAAATTTATTTTTAAAAAGACTTTTTACAAAAAATGTACGACAGAAGAATTTTCGTTGAAAATTGTTGAAGAAAAGAATTTGTCTGGGGAAATTGATATTGGCTCTCATGAGAATAATGGAGTTAATTCAAATTCAACTTCGTTTTGTGAAGAACCTGGAGGATTTATTGAAGTATTTTTAAACAAAAATTGGAATTTTTTATTTAATTTTTAGGATAAACTTCTTTTTCGACTTTGGCGAATAGTTTATTGGGGGTCTCAATTTCTGACATGGTTTTTCTTTTAATTTTATCATTTTCCAAAAAATACTTTTCAGGATTTTATTGCCAATGATTCAAAGCTATGCTAAAGCTGGAGAATTTACTGTTAAAGGACGTCTTAAATTTGCTCTACACAGCAATGCTGTTTACTATGGAATTTATTTTTCATTATTGACTTTTCTGCTGATTTATATTGTTTCTAAAGGAGTTAGCTTAAATTTGTAAGAATTTTTTTTAATTTATTGGAATTGTTTTAATGAGTTCCTTTTCATTTTTCTTTTAATGAGATGGGTTTTTCAATTGTTTCAGGCCCGTAGCCAGGGAGTAGGGGGTGAATCCCCCCCCCCCCCCGTAATGGGAAAAAGGAAAAAAATTTGGAGAGGGGATTAGGCCAAAAAAGTGATTTTTTTGCCTACGATATTCGAAATTTTAAAAATTTCGAACTTCTTCTTGTTTGATTTTTACTTGATTCCATTTAAAAATTTATCCTTATTTCAGCGCTAGTCTCAAAATTTTGGTTGTCTCCGCCTCCAACACTTGGGGAATTTTCTTGTTGGTTGTTCTCCTTGGATATGGTTTAATTGAAGTTCCAAGATTGTTTTGGAGAATGGGAATTCCAGGTTATTAATTTTAAAAATAATTTTTGAATAAAATTTACTTTAAAACAGGCTATCGGTTACGGCGAACATACTTTGAGATTGACAAACTTTCTTCGGAGAAAAATGAATCCGAGGATGCGTTACTTGAGGCTTACAAGTTTTAATTAATTTTTAAAATAAAATTTTTCATATTTCATTTTCAGTGAAACTAAATACGCCTTAAATTTGTTAAAAAATTCCCGAGGGGAGGCTCGCGAGAAAATTCGTCAAATTTCTGCAAAATTTTCAAACGACATTACTAATGGAATTTTGACAAGTTTGAGGGAGGATAATGAAGGAAATAATTCTTTTACTTGTCGATCTAGAAAAGCACAGCCAGATTTGGAAACTGTCAGTCAAAATGCTTATTTGGTTAGTTCACTGATTTTTTGAGGGGGGGGGGGGATTCTATCATCCTCTGATTGAAATTCTTAACTTTTTTCACCCAGAACATTTTCTATTAAAATTTTTTGAATATTTCAGGTAAAATTGCACAGAAAAGTAATTAGAGCTGTTCAAACCTTCCATCGTTGCCAAATTCAATGGAATTCTCTTTTGGAAAAAAGTTTTTATTTGGAGGATGTTGAACTTTCTGAGCGTATGGGAAAGATACCAAAACAATGGACTACTTTTACTGAAAAGAATAAACCAAAATTTCATGGACAGTCCAGATTTGGAGGTTTTGAATTGCCTGCAATACCTGAGAAAATTCAATTCTTTTGGCATTGCAAAATTAAACAACAACTTTTTAAAGTATTTATTTTTTAATTTTATTTAATTAGTCCTTTTGAAAAAAATTTTTCGGAGATTATATTTAATTACTGAATTAACGTTTGCCCCTTGTATTTTGGTCGTCATTTTAATTATTTTCCAAAATTTAAAATTTAATTTTTTGTTTTTCAGTTTTTGGCCATTCTATTCACCATTATGACAACTCTAATTCTTTGGAGTGAATGTACATTTTTTATTTCTAGTCCACAACTTTCATTAGCTGCTTTATTACTTCATGGTTTAGCTAAAAATTATCATTATAAATTTATTCAGGTTTTTTAAATTTATTAAGAAAATTTAATTTTTAAAAAATTTAAGATTTGTGCCATTGCAATGATTCTATATTTGTGTATTTGTGCTTACTATACAATTTTTCAATTGAGAATATATCGATATTATAGATTGGATTCTAATGGAATGACTGATGAAAATTCTCTTATATTTTCTGCAATGTATTTTTTAATTAAAAAAAAATTATTTTTTACTAAATTTAGGCTTATTTGTCGACTAACAGCCCCTATGTGTTTAAATTTTCTTGGAATGATTCATTTGGATTCAGCTGTAACAAAAATGAGAGATGCCAAAACTGAAACACAATTTACTGGAGTAAATAAATATTTTAATAAAATTAAAATTTTTTATTTATTTTTTTAGTTGATGGGGCATCTTGAAATAATTCCTTGGGTTAGTTTATTTTTAAATTGAAAAAAGAATTACAAGAAAATTTTCTTTTAAAGTTAGCCGAAGGAATAAATATTTATCTGCCTATTGTTATTGTACTTTTGTGTTTTGCTAATTGGTTTCGGTTAGTTTAGATGAATATTCGAATGCTATTTTTCAGTAATCGGAAAATTCTGATGTATTTTGGAATTTAAATTTCAGATTTAGATTTTAACATGCTCATTCTATTCAAAAATCTCTCTTCTCTTTTCAGTTTGGGAACTCATTTTCTTCATTATTTGGGGATTGATCAATTTTTGGAAGATGATTTAATGACAACAGAAATGGTTAATAGTGGAAGAGCACTTGTATCACTTGAAAGAAATAGATTGGTACGTGCTGCTAATCGTGAAGAAAGAAATAAAGCTTGGAAAAGTTCAAAAAGTGGAGGGATTGAATTTGATAATATTCAACAAACAATTGTGGATATTCCTGATGGAAATCAATTAATTGATACAAATGGAGTAAGGGAATTTTTTAAATTTTTTTTAATTCTGTGGAAACAAAAATTTATTTTAGTCTAGCTACTCCGTCTCAGATAATTTAGAATTTGGAGTGTCATCCCGAAATATTCAATACCAACAACTTCCACAACGTGATGATACTTCTATCGATACAAGGAGGGAAAATGATCTTCAAAGAAATTTTTTTGATGATATTTAATTTAATAGAATAATTTTTGGAAAAGATTAATGTAATTTTTTAAAAATTAGAAATTGATTTTTAAAATTTTTTTCTTAATATTTTAAATAATAATGTGCATTTTTGTTTCTTTTATTCTCATTCCGTACAATTCTCATTCCCCTGTGTTGGAATTAACAAATAAAAATCTGAGAAAAAATTTTTTTGTTTTCTTTTATCTTTTTAAATGTTAAATATAAAAACATTTAAATATTTTGTAAATTTTTAATATTTTCTTTTAATTTAGAAAAAAAAGAAAAAAATGATTGGTGGAGGTATTGCTTTTTATCCAACACTTGCTTACAATTTATTTCGTAATTATATTCAACCAACAAAATGGAGTTGGTATTCTCGTGTAAATGATACTTTAATACTTGGGGCAATTCCTTTTTCTTCAATGCTTGAAGTTTTGAAAAATGAGGAAGGAGTTGGGGGAGTTGTAAGTTTTTCTTAGAAAATTTTGTTGAAGTTTAAATTAGACGTTAAATGAATTTTTGAAAATAAATTTGGGCAAAATGGAAGAATTATCTGAAATATTTTGTAATTATTTTTTGAGGAAGAATAGAAAATCAGAAAGTAACAAGAAAAGTAAAAATTAATATTTAGGTTTGTTGTACAGAACAATTTGAATTGGATGCTGCTTGGGGAGCGATAAAACCAAAAGAATGGATAAATAATGGAATTGAATTTCATCACACGCCAATGAAGGATTTTTTTGGTTTGAAATTTTATTTAAATTATTCCTATTAAAACTTTGTTTTTAAGGAACAACTTCACAAAAAGACATGACTAGCGCTGTTGAATTTATTGAAAGGATAACAAATCAAGGCAAAACTTGTTATATTCATTGCAAGGTGAGGGGATTTTTTTAAATAATTAAAATAATTCTTTTAAATTAAAGGCAGGAAGAACAAGAAGTGCAACAGTCGCTGTTTGCTATTTAATGTATAAATATGGACAAAATGTTGAAGAAGCAAAAGCAACACTTTCTAAAGTAATTTTAATAGAATTTTGTTTAAAAAATTTTTTTAAAGCAACGCCCACAAATATTGCTTCATGAAGTACATATGCAAACTGCAAATGAATTTCGTCAACATCTTGATCGGATAAAAGAAGGAAAAAATTAAATTAATGAGCTATTGTAAAGTATTTTTTAATTACAAGTATATATGATAAAGTAATATATTAAAAAATATTTTTAAAATAATTTAAAAGATTATCATATCTTATTAATTATCTACAAATATTCGAAATTTATATTAAATAGTATGCTCGAATATACTTGAACACGGGAACGATTTTGGGCAGCTGTGTGAAATATTAGTGCATTAATAATACGCATTCCTAAACAGTTTTAGATAAAAATTTTAGTTTGACCGTTATGAGCTCAAACCAAATTTGTTACCAAATGTCGCTTGGCAAAACGGAATTTAAATGGGTAGTTTTTCGCCGATATTTCATCGCTTTGTCCACTTTAACTACAATTTCCTGAAAATGACATGTTCCTCTTTTTCTTTTTTCGATTTAAATGATTTTGGCTTGCTCTTGACAAATGGGCAAAATTTTCAATTCGAAAGTTCTGTGGCTGATCCTATTTTTTTCGAAATCAGATTTTTAATGAATATATTTAATTTTTTAATTTAAGGTTTTTATGATTATAAATTTATTATTGTTATTTCAACGAACACTGGCATATTATTTTTCAACTTTATTTGAACGATTTTTTAAAAGGGCGCAAATAAACGAAACACAACAAGGACAACAATTAATGTCATCATCTTCATCGAGACCGCCAGTAAATGAAGACGTTGCTTATGCAAACTTTACTTTATTCCAAAAGAGGAGTGAAAAAGCCAGAGAGAGTTTAAGGAAAGCTTTGGAGGCAGACGAAACAAGTTTGAAATTTTTTAAATTAAAGTCCAGATTTTTTGAAATTCCATTGGAATTGTTTTTTTAATTCCAAAAAAATCTTGTGTATTTTTAGGAGTGAATAAACGAGGTGTTATTCTTCTCTACAAGTCTGCTATGCGCGACTTTGAATCTGCATTATCCACTCGACTGTCTTCTTGCCCGCCTTACAAACATGCTGAAATTCGCCAACAACAGGAAAAATTGGGAAATTTTCTTGAATCTGTAAAAGATAGGTTAACAAAATTAGGTTTATTTTTCTATAAATTTCTTAGAATTATTTTCTTTACTTCTTAGAAGAAGATGATTTGTCTAAATCGGGTAATGAAACAAATACACGTCAAGTAATGATTAGTAGATCGGTCAGCAGATCGGCAAGAGGGGCGCCTACTGCTACAACAAGCGTAAGTATTTGTAGATTATAGAGTAGACTTAATTGGCCTCGAACTTGAATCACTGGGTTTGATTTTCAAGTTAATCGTTTTTTCCATGTTTATTGACAGGAAAATAATTTTTGTTTAAAAACATCTTGTTAAACTTTCCTTGTGTAATTTTAGAAAATATATTTCCTTTTTAGGCTCCTTCATCCTCAATGACAAATTCCAAACTTTTGAAGGGTGTAAATTCGAAATTCGGTGAAGAAATTCTCTCTACTATACTTGCAGATTCTGAAAGGATTACTCTTCGAAATGTAGAGGGAAATGAGGCTGCTAAAGAGGCATTAGAAGAAAGCGTAGTAAGTTTTTAGAACATTATTACTCTTTTTTAAATTAATAAAAAAAATTAGATATTGCCTTCACTTAACCCAAAATTATTTACTGGATTGCGCGCCCCTTGTAAAGGAATTTTATTATTTGGGCCACCTGGAAACGGAAAAACAATGATTGCCAAAGCATTAGCAAGTGAATGCCATTCGACATTTTTTAATGTCTCTGCTGCATCGATAATGTCAAAATGGGTTGGTGATGGAGAAAAAATGGTACAAGCACTATTTCAAGTTGCAAGAAATGCTCAACCTTCGATAATTTTTATAGGTTTTGTTTGAAGTAGTACAGTCGGAGTTCGATTTTATTTACATCTTACACAGTTAATTTTAGATAATTTTTTAATCTGGTTGGTCATTGTGTGGCGAGAGGTGCCTAACTAAGCGTTACCTTTAGTTTTAGGTTCACCTCATTTTTACTAAAAATTTTTTCAAAAATGTGTTCGTAAAATCGAGATTCCGACTATACGAAACTTTTCATAGTTTTTTTTGAACACGTCCCTTTTTATTGAATATTCCCCGTTTTAATTTTTAAATAACAGATGAAGTCGATTCAATGCTTTGTGAACGCTCAGAACAAGAAAACGGCGCGGCTAGACGTGTAAAAACAGAATTTCTAATTCAAATGGATGGATGTGCAAATAAATCAGAAGATCGAATTCTTGTTTTAGGCGCAACAAATAGACCAAATGAATTAGATGAGGGAATTTTGAGACGTTTTCCAAAGAGAATATTTATTGATTTGCCAGAAAAACAGGCTAGAGCATCAATGATTAAATCAACTTTTCATAGGTCAAATACACAGGCTTCTTTAAATGATCAGGAATTGAAGTGAGTTTTCTTTTAAAATTTGTTTGGACAACTTTTAACGATCCAATTTGATTTTTCGGATCCGGAGATGGTATTAATCCCGAAGAATACCCCAGCTCTAGTTCAAAAATAATTAAATTTCTTTTCAGTTATATAGCCGAATTAACAACTGGATATTCTTATTCTGATTTAGATGCGCTTTGTAGGAGTGCTGCTTTAATTCCACTTCGCTCGATTGACCGGTCAAATGTACATAAATTTACTGCAGCACATTTGAGGCCAGTTAATTTACAAGATTTTGAGACTGCATTAACAACAGTAAAGCCATCATTAAACAATGAAAATAGGAAAAAATTGTTAGAATTTGCGAGAAGACATGCACAAATGACAGAATGATTGGGGAATATATGAAAAAATTTTTGAAATTTTCTAATTAAAATAATTTTCTGCTTTTATGAATAAAAAAATATTTAATAAGAAAAAAGTTTAAAAATGAAATTTAGTTTTGTAAATTTTGCTCCAATGTAATGGGGAGATTTTTAGCAATTCTCCTAGTATAAAAGCACAGGAATTTCCATCTATCTTACCGACAACAGCTTCACTTGACAGCACGATACTCAACTCCAATCAACAACGATGGCGGACGGCAAGAAGGATGATGACGGCAAGAAAGGCGGCGGAGAGCGAAGCGTGATCAAGGGGGATGGTGGTAAGTGCGAGCAGGCAGTCCAAGGAAGGGAGCAGCAACAACAGGAGGACGCTAACACGAACACGGAGATGATCTCGCGGCTTGAACCGATGGAGGCAATCGCTCTGAATATTGGGACTGTGGTCGGCAGCGAAGGACACAGGAAATGGCACGTTCTCAGCAGGTTAGGATCTGGCGCGTTTGGTGCTGTCTATCTGGTGGAGGAGGAGGGTGCCAAGAAGGAGGAAAAGTATGCCTTGAAGGTATGTTGTTACAAATTTTTAAAAATTTTGGTCATTTTTACTATTTAGGCAGAGCGCCTCTCAGCTCAAGTGCAGATGTTGGCCGTCGAAGTGCAAGTATACCAGGCGCTGATGGCAAAGGCAGTTGAAGGAAAACGCCGGTACCCGTTGCTGATTGACAAGGGAGCCTGGAACAATCAGTGCAACTACTTGGTCATGTCATTGGTCGGCCCATCACTTGAGGTGATGATTTATTTATAAGTTTGGTCTAACTTTGTAAATAAATTATTTTAAAGGATCTTCGACGCAAGCGTCCCAACAACAGGTTTTCCATGGGCACGGCTCTGATTGCGGCAAAGAAGACTTTGGCGGCGATTGTACAGATGCACCTCGTTGGGTTTCTTCACAGAGATGTGAGTTTTCATTTTACAAAAGCGAAAATTGAACTTTAATTTCCTTTTTTCTATTAGATCAAGCCAGCAAACTTCTCGATTGGACACACGGACAAGAATGTCATCTACATCCTCGACTTTGGCATGGCACGATGTTTTGTACGGCCAGACGGCGTACTTAAACGCCCACGCGCAGGCAACATCGGTTTCCGAGGGACAGCCAAATATGCTTCAAGGATTGGTCACAAACATAAGGAGCTCTGCCGAGGGGACGACGTCGAGAGTTGGTTCTACATGGCATGTGAGCTTGTGAAAGGGAAGTTGCCTTGGCAGCGTGTCGATGTAAGTTTATTAATTTTTTGGTGGTTTGTTGGTAAATGTTTTATTTTTTTAGGAAGAAGCTAAAATACGTGACATGAAGATCGAAGCCTTAAGACCTGGGAAGGTGGATGTCAAAGGAAAGGGGCCGACTTCTGAGGCAGCAGCGGGGACGAAGACCAAATCGGAGGCGAAACCCAAGGTGGAATCAAAGCCCAAGATCGAGACTAAGACCAAGACTGAGGCAAAGCCCAAATCGGAAGCGAAGCCTAAGACGGAGACTAAGACCAAAACAGAGGCCAACCCCAAATCGGAGCCGAAGACTAAAGTGGAGCCGAAGGCGAAAGCAGAGGAGGGAAAGGAAGGAAGTGCAAAGAAAGCTGAGAGGGAGCCGAAGGATCCACGTCGCCTGCTGCTTGGTGGATGTCCTAAACAGTTCGCCAACATTCTTGAACTCGTCGCGCCACTCCGCTATTATGATGACCCGCCGTACGATGATATTGCCGAACTCATAGCTGCAGCAATAAAGAAGATGAAAGTGCAGGTTTGTTGAGAAATGTTTTTTAATCTTTTAAATTTCTTGTATTTTTTCAGACGTATCCACTAGATTGGCAAGAAGGAGGGAACAAAGCCTAGAAAGATGCTTGATGTACGGAAGATATTAGCATAAAGAATTGTGATATAATGTTCTCTGATGTATTGAATTGTTTTCCTTCACAATGTTGTAAATATATATTGTTTTTTCTGTAGATTTGTAAAATAAATTTGACTTATTGTTAGATTTTTGATATAAATTATTTTAGGTTAGTTGTGTAAATAAAATTGATTAGATAAGCTAGGGATAGTTTTGTCTTCAAGTATTGAATTGTTTTCTTTCACAAACTTTTTGGTTGGCTCGTTGATTGGAGGAAGTGCCAGAGTGATAACACAGATAAGATACCCAGATTCCATTTTTCAGACCCAAGAGGTGTATCCGAACCGATTTTTTAAATTTATAAATATTTGTCAAGATTCACAATTTATAACTCAAGTTAGCAAGCACTTTAATTTTAAATCTTACCTTTTTCCGCCTTGAGGATACCACGGAGAGGATTTTTATTCCCTCGAGAAAATAAAAAATTTGTGAGTTTTTTCGGAAAGACTAAAAATTGGCTTAAAATTTTTTTTGAAATTTTTATAAAACAACAAAAAAAGAAATACAGGAAAGAAAAAAATATAGATATAATTATTTTATATATATTTAAAAAGGCCAAAGAAACAAATATAAAATTAACAGAAAAAATCTCCTTCCTCTCCAATAAACTCAATCAATTAACTTTTTAGCTTTAAAATAAGATCGCATATAGAGCACCTGCCAAACAGCTAGTCCAAGAAGGCAAAGCATTGAAAAAATACTCAAATATAAAACTCGACTATTTGTTGATTCTGAAAAGAAATTTTTTAAATAATTTAAAAAATATTTGGAGTCATAGTAAAAAATTTGGAATTTTTCGATGGAAAAAGGTATAAAGCCAAAGATATAAAAAAATTTTTTTTCTAAAAAATTTTTCTAAGATTCTTTAAAGCTTTCAGTGAAACATCAGTCTAGAAATGATTCGAGAACCGTTAGAAGTTGGAAACTAACAACCGGGACTAAAAAATAGGATTCATTTAAATAATTTTTAAAGTTAAAAATTTTTTTAAATTCGCAAATGTCGTAACACCAGCCAAAGATAAGAAACTTTAATATCTAAAAATGGCAGTAATCTTTAATGGACAAATTTTTCAGCAGAGAAAATTTAAAAAACCCCAATTTCCTTAAATTATTCGATTCGTTTCGACAAAAATTTCGATGAGAAAACAAAAACAAAAAATAAAACCAAACCGTTTGTGTCACGCATTTCCTCTTCCCGTTGACGCATATAAACAAAATCTTGAACAATCGAATCGGAAAGGTCTTCTAATCGGCGAAGTTCAACTTCCAACGGTTTAAGTTTTTCTGCTTTAGCCAAATCCTCATAATTCTTTGCCTCAACGCCGTGTTTAATTTGAAGAGAAATTTCACGAGAAAATTTGTGCTGCTCTTAAAAATTAAATTAAAATTTAAAAAATAATTTATTTAAAAAATACGTGTTGGCCCATGATCTTTAAAACAAATTTCAAAAACATCATAATCATCGCCGGTGAATGCAATCTTGCCGCGAGTCTCAGGGAAATTTTCTCGGTTATAAAGTGTATGGCCACGAGTATCTGTTACCTAAAAAGAATTTTGTTAATAAAATTTAAAATTAATGCGAAGAAAAAACAAGTAAATTTTTTTGTAGAAATTAGAGATCGAGCTGGACCTGGATCCAGACAATGATTTTTCCTGGATCCATAGTCCAGATCAAGGCACCCAACCGAAATCAAGGTCAAGGTTTTCTAAAAATCTCGCTCTCTAGTAGAAATATATTAAAAGGAAAAAATAAGAGAAAAAACCCTTTAAAGATAGTGAAAAATAAAAAAAATGTAAAAAAGGAAAAAAGGGATTTATTTAAAAATAACCAAAAAATAAGGTCCTGTGCATGTATCAAAAAATATTTAAAATAACCCAGCAAAGAGTGTGCCCGTAACAATAATTAACTACCCCCCCCCCCCCCCCCCAAATTAAAAATAATTAAAAACAAACAGAAACAGTCGTTGTATGCCCAACAGCATCAGAAATTTCATATTCCCCAGTCATTATAACATTTCTGTGCATTTCATCTTTTATGCATTGTCTTCCATTTGTAGGAATAGTAAACCTCAAAGCTTCAATCAAAAATAAATTAAGTAAAAGTGTTGAAATAATAAAATACACAAAATATTTAGAAAAATCTAAACGTTTCATTTTTCTAAAAATTAAAAATTATTTTTAAATAAAAATTAATTAAAATTAATAAAAAAAAGTTTTTATTGCGTGTCAAATGAAAAAGAAAATGGAAATAACACGTTGCCAAATATTTGTTAATTTAAATATTTGAAGGTTTTCGTTTCGAAAAATTTTGAGAAAAAACAAATAAATTTTATTTAAATTAAATGACCGTACATGAACCGAGCATGAAAGATTCTTTTAGTATTTTAAAGATTTCCAATAGAAGTTTACTTGAAACTTTGATTTTGTTAAATTAGATAAAACAATTTTGTAAAATATACATAAATATGAGTTATTTCCATTAAATGATACTAAAATCGACGAAAGCTGACTTGACCTTTAAAATATTTTGGGCAATCCTATGAAGATTGTGCCCGTAACCATAATTAAACTGACACCTCCCTCTTTTTTCCGTTTCCCTGCCCATCTTGAGCATTTTTCTTTATTATTTTTTCAGACAAAGTATTACCATATTGTCACTGAAAGGGTTAAAACAATTGCTCATAACTTTGTTAACCGATGTTAGGGTGTCACTCTCTTTCGAATAATATAGGTAATAGAAATTGGAAAAAAAGTGGGGAGTATCAGTCAAAGTATTTCCACAATCTTTAACAATCTTTAAAATAATGCTTTCAAAAATTTCTTTTTTAACTAATTATAATTTATTCTTCAATTTTCTTTTTAAAATAACCAAACCGGAAACATTAAAAAATTTTATTTTTGAATTGCGCAGATTGGCGTGCTCATCCTTACATAAATATATTCACATTCCTTCTCCCCCATTCAATTGATTTCCACATAAAAATTGTTTAGGCGTCGCTTGCCTCACAGTTTTTTAACAAACACAGGCTGTCTTTATTTATTTTTTCATGAATATTTAAAGGGCGGTGAGTCATCTGGCAGCATGACTTTTGTAATTTTAAAAACTTTTTTTTAATTTTAATGCTTGTTTAATCAAACTGTTAAAATGACTAGAAGGAATTATAATATGTATATAGATTAGATATCAGGGATCGCGCCGCCCGATTTTCGAAATCGGGGCCCTGCTAGGTATCTTACTATTAGAATAATTTTTGATTTTTATTCTCAATTCTTTTTTTCCGAAGCTAACAATAAAAATAAATTTTTGTTTTGTTGCCCTCGGCAACCGAACGAAAAACTAGAAAAATATATTTAAATCCTCCAAATGCTTTATCCCATAAAATTACTAAAAAAACTTTTCTTTCCATTTTTCTTCAAAATAAATTTTAAAAAAATTTTTAAAAATTAAAAAATTTATTCTCAATTTATTTTTTAATTAATTAAAATTGTTTTCAATTACACTAATTTGTAAGGCAAAAATATATGCTTTAATTTTAATAAATTTCTTTGTTCCGTCATTTATTAAAAATCTAATAAATTTAACACTAATGTATTTTTAAATATTTACAATTTAAGGCTAACCAAAATTTTCTTCCAAAATTTTTTAAAATTACTTTTCATTTTTTGCTTTTTGGTTAAAACCTGAACAAACAAAAAAATAAAAATTGCTATTATTTATTTATTGAAAATTGTCCTTTTTTATTGATGTAAATTGGAGGAGAGAATCCACACACAAAATAAACTTGCGCGTGCATTCCTCGAATTTATATAAATATTTATTTATTTATTACTTTTTTTCAATTTTTGTAAAAATATTTTTGAAGTTTTTACTGTTAATTTTTTTTATTTTTTATTTTTTAATGATTTTATCTTTCTTAAACTTATTTTTATTTTTCAAAAAAATTTTAAAGGTGATTAAAATCTGTTCTTTTTTTAAAATTTATTTTCTAAATTAAATCAATTTTTATTATTATTTAACTCTTTACAATCAAAAACCATCGGTACTTTATTAATAGAGGTGGGGGCGGGATATTAATAAAGTACCAAACCATCTTCATTAAAGACTTTCGATATGAGAAAATCTTTTCTCTCTTTACTTGGAACACCTTCCAAGTTCCAAAAATCGAAGGGTTCTTCCATTCAAGTTCATGACGGTTTTTACCTGCAGCGGCTCCACGGGTTCTGGATGGAATATTTTAAAGAAATTTTTTATCCTTTTCTAAATCTATTAAATAAAAATATTTATTTTTAATATAAAGTCCCTTCTATTTATTTCCTGGTCAAGGACATCAATCCCAATCTATTACTATTTTCTTATACATTATAAGTAGCAGTCCATCTTTTTATTTTAATGCCTTTTTGATCTCTTTCATCACTTTTTCAAATCTAACAAAAAAAATAAATGTTCGTCTTCAGTTATCTTTTTTTATTTAAACCTAGGTTGGGCTTTTGAGGGTTTTTCAAATCCGGATAGTGTTGGGTATAAGGTCCTCCTCTGATATCCGGGGGTCCTCCTCTGATGTATAGGAAATCCTCTGATATCCGAAAATATCCGGATATTCGGCCTTTTTCGGATCCGACAACCTATTGGGTAATTCGGAATTTATTTTTTCAGCTGATAGAAGTCTCAATTAATTAATTAATTTTTTAAATAAACGTCAATATATTATTTCATAATTTATTTATACATATTTAAAAGTTATTTAAAATCGTTTAAAAGATTTATATCTTCCTTATAATTTATGTATATCTTCTTCTCTCTCTCCTTCCTTTTTTAATACTTTATATATTTTTGAAGGTTGCGCACTCATTGCACCTTCAAATCCCCCATTCCCCCATTCCCCCATTTTTCCCAATCGATCTCCAACAGCGACCGGTTATACTAAATTTGGTATTTTTGGCTGTTTTAAGGTTGTGGAGCTATTCTTTTTTTATTTTCTTTTGAAGATTGGAAGGGGAAGGGGGGGAAGGGGGTTATCAATTAGGGGTATTTTTATAGAAGTTGGGATTTATGGGAGGTGAAATTTAAAAATTTAAATTATGGAATAAAGTTGGAGAGATAATTCTTTCGATAATTCTCTGCTTCTTTAAATTTCCCATTCATCCCTTTCCATAAAAATTTGGATGATGCAGGAAAGTCCCCACAAGTTGTGAGGGGATTCGTCAATATTACATTATTTTAATTAATTTAAGTTCCTAAAATTATTTTTTATTAAAAGAGATTTTTTTAAATTTAAAGGGAAAAATAATTTAATAACAACAACAAAAAAAAGAATGCCAAGTACAGCAATCCAAAAATTATTATTAACAATTTCAATATTTTTAATCGTTGCTGGACTTGCATTAACAATTGCTGGATTAGTATCTCCAGCTTGGCAAGTTGTTGATATTCGGGAATTTAGAGCAGAACATCAACACGGACTTTGGTGGGATTGTATTAGAGCCGAAAAGGTTGGAAAGGAAATTTAAAAAGAATTTTTTAGAATTCCTTCTAATTTATTTAAATTTATTCTTTTAATTTATTTCCCTCAATTTCAAATAAAAAAAAATTAAAAAAAAAGGCGAAAGTCAATTAATTGTGATTGGACTTATTTTGTGAATGATAACCCAACCACTACGGACCCTTCGCTGACTTTTTACATTAAAATTCATTTTATATATAGACTGAAAATAAATAAAGAGAAATATGTCGATGTCTATTTTTAAATTTTTTTAAATTTTATATGTACTCTCTTTTTCTTTCTCTAGTTTCTCTTCTCTCTTTTCCATCACTACAAAAAATAAAATTATTAAAAAAATTAATTTTTAAAGTTTTTCAGCATGTTGTGGCTGTTGGCGATTTTTATGATGAAGTACTTTATTAAAAAAATTTTAAGCTTTTTATTTTCCTCCTTTATTTAAAGGCTCCTCTTCACTGCATGTACAAATTTGACGAATCAGCCGCTCTTGTTATTGAAAATACTCTTGTATGTAGAGATTTAGTTGATTGACCTCTATTTTAAGTGCACCCTTTTTTCAAACCTCTCTATAATTTAAAACCCTCCATTTAATGGACACTTTTATAAGAGACCCCCCTCTATATAACGTACACTTTCCGTTAAATTTCAAGCAAATGCCAATTTTCTTTCTATAAAATTAATTTCTGTATTCAAAACAAAATTTTTCTTTCAAAGAATCGAATTGACGAAGATGGGGCAGCTGGGGAAGCAGAACACCATCGTTTTTGGGGATGGCAAAAAGTAAAAATTAAAAAACAATTTTTAAAAATAATTAATTTAAAGGTTGTTTTAACTTTAATTTTGCTTTCCCAATTATCTGCTTTTGTTGCTATATGTACAGGTGTTTGTGCACCTTGTTTCCCTCCATCAACTTTTTGTTTTACAATTTCACTTTTTATTGCCAGTTTGTTTTTGAAAGAGAAGAAGAAAATAATTTATTTTTAAATTTAAAGTGTTACTTTCAATGTTGTCTGATGGAGTTTTCTTTTTTTCTGCAAATCGAGTAGATATTCGTTTTGTTACTGGTAAATTAATTAAGCATTTTTTAATGAAAAAAAGGAAAAAAAATTATGGGGTTTTAAACCGTGAATAAAAAAGAAATTCTTTGTCAAAAAACTTTGGGGTTTAAAATAAACTTTAGGACCTCAGGGGTTTTAAAATTTTTCCAATTTTCTTTTATTAAATTAAATAATAATTTTATTTCGATTTTAATGAGGAATTACATTTACAAATAATTATTTTAAACAAAACAATACTCAATAAATTAAAATAATTGTAAAGCATATAGCTATTTAATTCCTAAGGCTAGCGTGGTGTAATTGATAAACATCAGTCCGGTCTGCTGAAGATGCTGGCTCGCTCCCAGCCGCCAAATAACCTTTTACACTAGCTAAAGGAGAGAAATAGCTATAACCCAGCTGCTTTACTTAACTATCTAAAACCCATAAATGGCAATATAACTTTTCTAAATCATCGTCTTATACACAAATCTATGATGCCGTTAAACTCTCTTTTAAATAATAAATTAATAAATTAAATTTTTTTTTATTTTATAGGAATGGTTGGAACTTATGTAAGTATTTATTTTTAAAAATTAATTTAAAATTTAATTTATCCAATAAATTTAAAGGAACAAATAATTGGTTATGCCTTTTATTTACATGTTGGGGGCACTTTTTGTTGGTTAATTGCTTTTGTTTGTGCAATTACAACAACCTATAAATTTATTTCTTCTAATGGAGCACAGAGGTAGAGCTTCTTTAAATTTAATTTTCTTTCCTTTTTTCTGCTTTTTATTTCTTTTAGTTTATAGCACCTTTAAATTATGCACACAATTATTTTTAAACACAAAAATAAGTAAAATTTCTTTTTTCTTATTAAATATTTGTAACAATTCTTTCTATTTTCTTATTAAAATAAATTGGTGAAAAAAGGAAAGAAAGCCTCAATTAGAAGCCCGAAACTAAACAATGTTTGGCTCTGGTCTAGTTTAAAAGTCCAATAGTAAGAGCTAAGTAAGAGTTTAATCCCGGGCAGGCTTCGATCCTGCGACCTTCTGGCAGTTATTGCTAGGCGCTTTCGCTCACCACGTACAGGTGCTCTAGATAAGGCTTTCAGGCCGAGACTGAGCTACCGGGACGCTCTATTCATCTTCTCTTTTAATAGATCTTAAACCCCTGCCTAGAGAGCGTTTTATATGCTAGCCAGCAGGATCTTTCTTTTCCTTACACAATGAATGTTTAGACCAAAGCCAAAAAAACTGGATCAGAGCCCAATGTTCTGTAATAATTTACTCAAAAATCAATCTATAACTCCTCTCCCCTTCCCTTATTTTCACTAAAAAATTCTCTCTCTCAGACAACTCTTCGTATCGAATGATCGAGAAAATGTTTATCGACATCCAGTTGTTGAATGGCAACAACCCCAAAGAATTAATGGAAATGGACGTTTAATTGGAAGTAATACACAAGTTTAGTTTTTTTGGAAGGGTTTTGTTTTGATTTTTGAAAATTAATTGAAAATTTGATTTGAAATGAAAAAAGGAAGGAATTTATGTTGATACAGGGCTTTCAGGCCGAATTGAGTCGAATACCTTTTTAAATTAATTTTTTTTATCAGAATTTGCAATCCAAAAAATAATAAAAATTTAAATTATTGTGGACAAATTCTGTGGATTTTTGAATAAGAGAAAATTATTTCCAAAAATTTTTATTTTAAATAGGTGTGGTTAAAAATTTTTAAAAAATAATTTTTGTATCTACATAAATTCCCAAAAATATAGTACATTGTTTCGTGCTGAACTCCCTCTCCCCCTAAAAAAATTATTTTTCAACATTTCCTGTTTCTATTTTTTGAAATTCCTATTAAAAAATTATTTTCCTTTTTTTAAAAATTTCAAAGAGAATCTCTCTCATTTAAATTTATTAAAAATTATTTTAAATTAAAAGGACGTGGTACAGATATTTAGAAACATCCAAAACTAAAATAATTTTCCAAGATCAAAGAAACCCATTTTAAGATTCGGGAGTGTCTCGGACATTTGGTTTGTGTGTTAATTTCGTTTTTTTATTTTAAATTAAAAGTCCTTTAAATTTAAATAATTTATAAATTTATTTTTTTATTTTTAAGCCTGCCATCTTTTTAATCTTTTATCATCTTTTTGTCTTTATTTTTGCTCACCCCAAAAATTATTAAATTTAAATATGCCTCATATTAATTAGATTAACTGCCACTAAATATTTTTCAATAAAAATTGTTTTTTAAAAAGAATGTTCTAATTCATAAAAAATTTTATAAACTAAAAAGTTAGCTAAAAAATTAAATTTGACTTTTCTATCATCTCTGCTTATCCGAAAATATTTAATGGAAAAAAATTTATTCAAAATTTTTCTGAACATTCTTTTTCTTTTTATTTTTTAAAAATAATCTTTTTAATTAATTAATTATTTCATTATTTTAATTTCATAAAATTTTACTTATTTTTGTGTTTATAAAATAAACTCAGGGCATAATAAATATTTAAAATTAACAGAAAATTTAAATTAAATAAAGCACAAATCTACATAAATTCACTTATATTTTCTTAAAAATTCAAAAAAAAATTTTTTTAAAGATCATCAATGTATGAAGGACAACTTCCCCAACAACAAACTCCATTGTTAATTGGAGGAAAAAATAATGGAAATTGGGAAATGGGTGGACATAATAATAATCGAATGCCTCCACCTAGAGTTTTTAGAGAAACTAGTGCTTGAAAGAATTGGCTTTAAAAAATGAAAAAAATAAATAAAATAAATTTTGTGTTTTGTTTTTTAAAATTAAAAAAAATCGTTGAAAAAACGATCAGAAATATGGTAATTTGATTTGTTAAATTTTGCCATTAAATTCGGTGTTTTCTGTAAAAGGGAGGAGGGGATAGGACAAAGTTGGAATTTAATTGAAAAGAATATTTAATTTTGGTTTTAAAGAAAATACAAAATTTGGTAAAATTGGTTTTGAGGGCCCAGAACATCGATCCTGTTGAATTATGGGATTATGAATTATGGGTTAAAAATTAAAAATTATTTGAATTATGAATTATGGGTCATTCGAAAAAAAACTTTTAGCTTAGTCGAATAACATCAAAATCAGCTTAGACTAAGCGAGCTGACAATGAGTTTAATAATATATGTTAGGTATATATAACTCGACCGGGTCTGAGTCCACAAAACTAATTTTTCCCAAAATTTTGTGAGTCCTATCCCCTCAATTAACCACTAATTATTAGAGACCTGTCGGATTTTTTTTCGATTAAAAATCGGAAAAAATCCATCCATTCTCTATTATTTATCCATGAAATGTTTACTTTCTAAATTTAAAAGTATTTATTTTTTTAATTCGAATAAAAATAAAATATTTATTTAATTTATTAAACATCAGAACATTTAATATTATCAATATTTAAAGTTTGGTTTCCACCAAAAAATTCACCAATTCTATTATTTGGAGAGGAATAAATTAATGAATTTTTTAAAATTAAATTTTGTGGAGTGCCTGGTGGCGGCGGAGGTAAAACTTCTAATGAAGCTGTCAATGCTGCTCTTTCTATGCTAAATAAATCAGAAAGAAGTAAACATTTACTGTCTTCTTGTATTAATCTGCTGAAAATTTTTAGTAATTTTTTTAAAGAAAAATAAAAATTAATTTTTTGCAAATAGAGGGAGTTTTAATAAAATATGTAAAAGATAGCCTCTCATAAAATACTCTAAATTAAATTTAAATATAAAAAAATTATTTACTTTTTTTGATCAAAATATTCTTCATTAATTTTATCCCTTATTTGATTTTTGTCTAATAATAATTGCTTTTTTCGACATTCTCTTAACAAAAGTAAATAAGCAGATAAAACACTAAATAAAGATGAAAGTAATAATGTTAATGAACCAAGACAGTGAATGAAGAATGCATAGGAAAGGTGTTGCTAGAAACAATAGAGATTATTTAAAGTTTAAATTTTGGAAAAAAATCCAAATTTAAGAACGTTCTGACTTCAAAAAGTGGGAAAATCAGAAAAAATTTGGGTGAGTTTATACCAATGTAACAGACTATAACAGGAAGGTTCGACAAAATTTGGAAATCATTTCTAGTTTAACCCAAACATAGGAAACATTGTAAATCTAAGAAAAACTTATTAGAGGCTAAAGAACAGACTAAATAATATCTCTAATTATCATCAATAAATCCTTTCAATTGTTTACAACAAAATTAATATTCAAACTATAAATTACTTGATAAACAACAGTAGTAGATCCCCGAATACCAATATCATTTTCAGCTGCCATCCAAAAAGAAATGTCTGCAAGGATTGAACAACTAGCTAATTTAAATTGAAAAAATATTTTTTTGAAAATATTTTCAAAATTACTTGCTAATCCAACAGATATTGTATGTAAAATAGCATTAGGAAGAAAACAAGAAGAACAAGCACCAACAAAAATTGAAAGAAAAGAAAATACTGATGTAAAAACACAAAAAAATAAGACTGCTTTATGTTGGGCTTAAAAAAGAAATTACTCAAATTTTAAAATAAAAAAAGTTCATCCCAATTTCATCTACAAAACTGCCGAAAATCAGCGAAACAAGTAGCGGGGATTAGTGATGCTTGGATATCCCGACTCCCGATTCCCGGGTTTTTTCTTCTCCCAAGCATCACTAACGAGGATACAGAAAATAAACGAGAAGTCCAAATTTAATTTTCAAAAAAAATTATTAAATCCCTTAATTTAGAGAATATTTTTTAAATTTATTTTTCTTCCCAAAAATTATTCAAAAAAAAACAAACGTAAAAATCTGTGATTATTTAAATGTTCTCTAGCCCCAAAATCTCCCTCTTCAAAAGCCATTCTAACAAACAAAGAAGTTTGCCAACTAGGTAGACCTTCAAATTTATAGGTGCATTGCCTGGCAGGTTTTAATGGAGGCAAAGATTTCCGGTCATCTCGATGAATACGTGGTAAATCGTTTAATGGAGTTACCTTTTTTGAGGGAAAATTTTAGAAAAATAATTTTAATGATATTTTGTAAAAAAGATATTTAAATTTTTTGAAATTTTTTAATGGGATGGTTTAGTAGATATGTTATTATTGAGAGAAGAATTTATGGAAATAAATTTATTAAAAAAATATTTTTGGACGGATATTTTTCGGGTTTTAATTAAATCAACATATCGTAAATGGCCTAATAGAATCACATGTGCCTCTATTTTTCGATCCCCTCGTGGGGTGTGCTTATATTAGGGAGTGTGCTTCAAATAAGGAGTGTGGTTCTATTAGAGCATGTCGGTATAACAAAAAATAATGATTTATCCAATCCTGTTTTAATAGATAAATTTAGTTTATTTAAAAAAACTTTTTCCAAATATTTAAATTAAATATTTTTTAATTTTCTTTCTCTCTAAGAATTTGAAATGAAATTAATTGTATAGAGGTACTACAATCCAAATATTTTTAAACTCAAAAAATACCTCAGATATAATACAATCAAATAAAATAGCATGTTCATGTACAGCATTTAATTCAGGCAAATCCAAAATTTGCCAACCGGGTAGAGCTATCGATATTATCGAAATTAAACAGCCTAATAATGTTAAACAAATGCCGAGATAAAGAAAGGAATTACGTCGATTATTTAAATTATTTATTTGTTGGGAAGGAGGGGAGGAGGGAAAGGAGGATACATTCATTGTCTTTTAAAAATGCTTCTAACTTTTAATTTGTTTTTCTTTTAAACAAAAAAATGGAAAAAAAGTAAAAAAACTCAAACAGTTAAAATAAAAAAAGAAAGAAGAAAAATAAAATAAAATAACAATTATGTAAATAAATTATTTATTATTAAAAGAACTACGATAATGAAAATTGTTCACGGTGTTTCATTATACATAGTAAAAGGAAATGATAATATTCTTGATTTCCTTTGATATACGTCGAGATTTGGATAAAAGTTTACTTTATGGTGATACTAATTTGTTTCTTATAAATAGGTAATTAATAATATATGTAGTAAAGCAGCTGGGCTATATCTATTTCTCTCCTTTAGCCAGTGCAAAAGGTTAATCGGCTGCTGGGAGCGAACCAGCATCTTCAGTAGACTGGACTGATGTGTTAGCCATTACACCACGCCGCCTACTGCATAGCCTTAGGAAATGAATAGCATATCCTTTTAATTTACAATATTTGAATATTTAATTTTTAGAGAATAAACTAAAATTTACTCATATTTTTAAATTAATTTTTTACAAAATTAAATACCAAAATTCTCTTAATAGAAATGAAAAAATGATTGGGTGGCATTATTGCCCTTTTAATGCCGCTAAATTTTTTTTTGAAAAATGACTGAAATTTGATGCTTTTTGGATGTCAAAAAAGAGAGAGAAGTGTTTATGGGGGGATTGAAATAAAGGAAGAAATAAAAAATGAAGGGATGTACATACATCCATACATACATTTACCTAAAAAAAATAATTTTTAAAAAATTGTCTTTTAAAAATAGGCAAAAAATATTTATTTATTTATTTCAACTTGATTTATTTTTTAATTCATCAAAATTTAATAGAAATAAAAATATTAATTTTTAATTTCCATTTTTAGCTTATTTTAAATTCATTGAAATTTTTAAAAATTTATTACTTTAGAGTGAAAGACCACCAAAGAAAATTAAGTAAAAGAGGGGCTTTTAATATTAAGAAAAATATTTTTGAATTAAAAAAATTATTTTAGAATTTAAGCTTGCTATAATTAACAAAATAATTTAAAAACTAAAAAGATTCTAAGCCGTGTCTAAGCAATAATCTTCAGTAATGAATTACTTGGCTACGATAAAAAAATTTCCAGCACTAATTTGTAAGGAACAATGTCTGGGGCTGCATAAAAATTGAATAACTGATTCAGAAAAGTGTAAATATATTTATTGAGAAAATAAAGTGTTTAAATTTTGAATAAGAAAACTACACAAATTAAATTCCCCAACAAATTTGCCAAGGAATTTAAAGAAAATTGGCATAAAAAAAGAAATGAAGCGATAAAAGAAGTGCTACTATAAAATAATATATATTAACAACCACTCGAGCCGATAAAATTTAGAAAAAAAAGGAAAAGAAGAGGAGTTTTATAGCCACAAAATTGGTAAAAATGAATTGAGCGGAAACAAAACAAACACTTTCCAATTCTTTTAAATTGCTGTCATTCAAAACTGATAAAATCGGCTTTTAAATATTTTAATAAATAAATAAATTGATTTATTTCCTTTATTTTTTTGTTTCAAAATTTTGCTTAATTTTATAGTAAATTATTTTATTTTTAAATAAAAATGGGTTTGCAGTTATAGTTCAAACAATTTTCAAACCAATTCCAAATCCCACTCCCAATAAAAAAACAATTTTCAAAATCAGAGAAGCTTTGTAATTACTGTATTTTCTCGATTAATTCCCCTGGAAAATTATTTTTCCAACCCTTCTTTGGCATGAGGAATTAATCGAGGGAGGGGAATTATTCTAGTTTTGGCATTTGAACGTGCAGTAAAGTATTCGGGGGTTGGGAATTATTGTTTCAAGCCAACTCTAGCATGAGGAATTACTCGAGAGGGGGAATTATTCGAGGGAGGAGAATTAAGCGAGAACGTTAATTAATCGAGAAAATTAAATTTTACTTGTGCTAAAAGCTCAATAAATACTAGCAATAAAGGATTAAGCAAAAAACTAGAAAAATTTCTCAACCAAAACCCTATTAAACAAAAGAACACAAAAAATTTTCAAAAAATTTATCTAATGCAAAAAATACAAGCAAATACAAATTATATATACATACAAGCATTATAATACAAACGACAATACAATACAAAGTGAGTTTTATATAAGGGAGGCAAATGTACAACATGAGAGAGGGGAAATTATTGGGAGGGTTGGAGAGACATCTATCTAGATCATCTATAGGCTCATCTTCTATAGGCTCATCTGAAGAATGAGTCGACGGCACCTCCACTTGGCGGAGGTGGGGCGCGTCCTCCTCCTCCTCCGCCCTGCTCCCAGTCGTATGGCCTCTCTGGAATTCGGTTGTTGGTGAGGTAATCCTTGAGGATTTTCATGATCCATTTGTAGTCAGGGCGAGTGTAGAACTTCAGGCTGTCGATGTGTTTGAGCACTTGGCCGAATTCTTGTGGACAACCATCGATGAGACTCCTGACCGCCGCCTTCCTCGTCTCAAGGTCCATGCTGGGCAGCCTTTTCTTCTTGTATTCGCCGATCTAGAAAAAGGAAAAAATATTGTTTTTATTTTTTAGAGGGTTTTAGGTGTGTTTACCATGTTCATGTCGCCGACATTCCCCCATGGCAGTGATCCTCTGTATATCTCGACGAGCATGTAGAACCAAGACTCCAGGTCGTCCTTGCGGGAATACTCCCTGTTGATGTGTGCTGAGATGGCTGCATAGCGTGGAGAGCCGCGGAAGTTTGAGGCCTGTCTTGGTCGACGTAGAGATCCCTAGAGGAAATTAAAGGGAAATTTTTTTTACTGCTTAAAATTCTCACATCCTCGCGTTTGAATTTCCGCGCCATGCCAAAGTCGAGAAGATAGAGGACATCCAGCTCGTTCTCGTCCGCACGTCCAATTGCTGCGTTCGCTGGCTTGAGGTCCCGATGGAGGTAGCCGATCTCGTTGAGAGCCCTGATCGCGTTGACCATTTGCACTGAGATGCCAATTGCAGTGCCAGGTGTGAAGCGTCGACCCGGCCGCTCCTCGATCAGCTTGTCCAAGCTTTTGCCTACCAAGGCCATGCTGCAAAAAAAAGAATTTATTTTAGATCCGCGCCACTAAAAGTAAAATAAACTCCTTACACAATGTAGTTGAACGTGACCGATCTGCCCGCTGGGTCCATCTGTGTATCTCGTCCAATGTCGTGACACTTGGTGAAGTGTTTGCCCTCTTTGATGCCGTGCAAGTCCTGCAGAACTTGGGCCTGAAAAAAATTTAAAAAAGGTTTTTTGCTGAAAAATAAAAGCAAAATTTAGTCTCACCTCCATGGCCAGCAATGGCGGATTGGCATTCAACGGCTCCGTCTTGAGTGCAGCGGTCAGATTTCCGTGCGTACAGAGGTAGACTGCTCCAAACGCGCCGGCTCCTAGCTTTTTGGTAATGGTCCACTTGTTGCAGCGTTGGCCAGGTTGAAGTGTGACAAGTTGTTCCTCGCCCATGTTTGTGATGATGAGTGTTGACGTACAGTTGAGTTGCTGAAGGGTTGATGATTGACGCAGAAAAACAAGGCCTTTTATAGTGTTAGGACACAATTATTGTAAACAGGTGGCTTATGATAGTATAAAAGCTGTTATCAGTGTCAGACTCCTCGGATCATAGTCATTGATCAGTCCTCGTTAGCCCCAACTTCAATTCAATCGTCATAGTTTCTACAACTGATCGGGTGTTATTTTCATCGACAATGGTAAACCACGGGCAGTCTCCTTCCGCTTAGATTAAAAAACTTTGGCCATCGTTTAAACAACTTTTCTAGTTTTGTAACAAGAAAAAAAGTTTTTTTATTTTTAAAGTTGAAAATCAAGTTTCGGTCCGCAAGTGTCGCAACTTCCTTCCAACTACAGTAGTCAGTTATTCTCTCAAATTCAAGATGGTGTATTTCGTTGCTCCCTTATCGCTCTTTCCAAACTTCGCATATTAAATAAAAACCTATAAATTAATTTTCTTTTTTTACATTAAAAATTTTTTGTTAACCTCAATTAAGTATTTTTTGGGAAATTTTTAAAATTTTGAAAAATGCAAGAGAAATTTCAAATCTAAAAATATGCAAAAAACAGGGCTCCGATCGACAAAATGCCACTCAAAAGTATCAAAATCTTGATTAAAAAGTATATAGGGAGAAAATTTGTAAATAAAAAGTAGTCTCAAAATTAAATTAGAAAATATTTATTCGTACTCAAATCTTTTATATTTCTCTCGTAAATGAATCGTTTCTAATAATTTCTTGTTTCAACTGAGCATTTTGTCAATTTTAATGGACCTTTTGTGGCGCCGAAGGCGCCAAAAAATCTATTTTCTGCGCCGCAGGCGAAAATTTTGAGAATTTTGGAGGTCCTTAAGCCAGATTTCTTCCATTTTTTGCGCCGCAGGCGAAAATTTTGAGAATTTTAGAAGCCGTAGGCCAGAAAATTCACTTTTTTGCCCGATCCCTTCCTTAATTTCATTTTCAATCAAAAAAAAGTATATACTTTCAAAAAAGTAGAAATTCAATTTCGTAAGTGTGGAGGTCGATTTAAAAGTAGACTACTTTTAAAAAAGTAGGAATCGGAGCCCTGGCAAAAAAGAAAATCATTAAATATTAATGAAAATTTAGCCAATATAGTTTTATGTATTTTTAAGATTTCGAAAGAGCACTTCCTGTTTTTATCATTTTTTGTTGTTTTGTCTCTTGTATTATGCATTATTTTAGCTTTTCAATTTTTTTCTCCCTCATTTAAAGCAATTTATATTTAGCATTTCCCTCAGCCCTTAAGGGCCCATTTGGGCGCCAATTGACGGCGTTTAAGGTTAAAACTTTATTCCAGCGCCAAGCCAACCCCTTTCAATGCATTTTCTCCCCCATAAAGTATCCCTGCCCTCATTTTGCCATTTCTCCAACACAAAATACGCAATAAGCCTAATCGATTATAGGAGAGCTGTAGAGTGATGTTGTGTTTAAAATGCAAGTCAGCACTACTCTCCCC